ACATGCAAAACCATATTTTATGTAGCTGCTGATTATAATCTGGTGCAATATTACAGTTGAACCATGATTTTAATTTCCATTTATCATCTCTACAGCTAGCTTTTTATTTAGTGTTTATATTCAATGTGTGTACATTAAAAAATCTTATTGTTTGATTATAGAATGTCCTGTTTTGTGTTTTAATATTTACATTTCTATGACTCAAGAGGAGTTACACTAATTTTGTTACAGTGGCAATAAAGGCTGATTAATAGATAAATGAAAGTAATGAGGAAAAAACAGAGGCAGGAAAATGTACGATGCACAAATTAAAACAATTAAAAGGTGAAAAACGATAGATAAAGTTTTACATGAATAAATCAATTAATCAAGCAAACAAAACAAACAAACAAAAAAAAACATACATTATAAAAATAAATAAAGTCAATTAAAAGCCAGATTAAAACAGTAGATCTTGAGTTTGCCTCCAGGACCTTCAGGTCTTCAAGGCTGTTCCACAGACGTAGGCCACAATAACAGAGAGATTTCTCACTGTGGGTGAAAATAAAAGGCGACTAACAGAAGACATGAGGTCTCTGAAGGTTGGCAAGACAAAACAAATCTAATAAATATGTAGAAACAAGACAATAAAGAGCTTTATAAACCAATAAAATGATCTGTTTTCGAGCAGACAGGTAGCAGAGGCTTTAAAACTGGCTTAATGTGCGCTTTCCTTCTGGTCCTTGTCAACACTTTTGTGCAGCTGAGATTTGAAGCAGATGAAGTTGACATATATTTTACTTGTGGAGACCAGATGGCAGAACAGGCAACAGTCAATCCTGCGGGTAATAAAACTGCAGCAGAGTCTCTTGATTGGCTCGAGAGAGACACAGTTGCACTCTGGAAATGCTCTTCCAAAAATAAAATGTGCTCTTAGTTACGTCTGTAATGTGAGGCTCAAAAGTGAGATTAAAGTCGAAGATGATGAATTTTTTTAATTTCTCTTAAAGCAATAATCACATATGTTTACATTTACATCCTAAGAGTTACTACTTGCTGCACTGGTGATAAAATACATATTTATTTTGTGAAAGAGACATCATGACCGATATTATTCTTCATTCATAATCTGTAGCTAACTCTAAACTGAATTAGGGTCAATTCCTGTCACAATGCAAACCCTTATTTTCTTGACTTGCTGGTGCCAATAGATGGTGGACAAAATAAATTTCTCTCATTACAAATGAAATTAGCCACATTTTCATTTAGGGATGTAGAGCATTAGCAGCAGATTTTCTTGTTAGTGAAAACACTTGTAAAGTGCAGCCCTCCAGGGAACAATCTGTTCTGTGTCAGTGACTTAAACACCAATACTGCTTGACCCGAAACCACTCTCTGCAATTTGGATTAAATTACAACAGAAAAGCAACCTACTCAAAAATACTAAACTGCAGCTCATCTATATGAAATATTATGATACCCAGGAGACACATGATGTTGATCGACAGACACAGTTTAGCTCGAGGATCCTTCATCTGGATGGGAGTCTTTAACCTCAGCAGTCGAGCTAGAAGTCCACTACTTTTACCTGCACACAAACTGTAAATGACACATGTTCACAATATCCTCAAAAAGAAAGCTTATATGTGGGTTGTTTTTTTGGCATTGATTAGGGTTCTGATCATTTGTTCTTTCTGTGTTTTGACAGAGAAGACGTGTGGATATGCTGGTGATCTACTCCATGGATACCTCCACTATGAGGGCCAGTCATACCTCGGGGAGAGAGTTTATGCTACGTGCCAAGAGGGGTAAGTTTCAAATCAAAGGACTTACCTCAGAATATGACACTCAGCTTTCATTTAACTGTGTCTGGTGCTCGACAGATACACTCTGAAAGGACCGAACTACCTGATTTGCGAGGCGTCTGGATGGACGGGGGAATTCCCAACTTGTGAAGGTGGGTCCACTATCCGAAACCCGGGAGAGTTTCTTCCGGTTCTGTCGTTAGATTACATCAAGAGTTGACGTTAGGTGGGCGGCGTTGTTAAGAAAGAACAACTGCTTCCCGACTGTGACGCACAATGAATATATTTTGTTTAATCCTTTAATTCACCTGGACATATTTTTCATCTTAACAATAACTTCATGATACTAGATGTTGAGTTGCTCAGTGTTAAGTCATACAGGGATGTATGTGGTCATTCTGATGATTATAGGTTTATAGAGCGTCACACACTTACCTTGAGACCTCAGTCATGTTCCTTTTATATTATATTTATCATATTTTATTGCATTTACAAATTTCGAGAGGGTTAAACATATTAAAGAAATGACAGTGAGTCTAAGCATTGACTGTTTTGATGCTTGTACAGTGCTGTCGAATTTACATTTCATTACATTACATTAATTAAGTGTCTTGGTGTTATGCTACTGTCTACTTTTGCGCCACAATATTTATTTTAAAGTTTTAGCTGTCAGTTGTTGTTCAGATTGTTCACGTGAAATACAAATCATCAAATAAATGATGCTATATTATTATTATAGACTACAGTGCTTATACATATAAAGTCACTACACGTAGCTCCAACTATAACATTAAAGAGTTATACACAATGAGTAACTGTACTCTGGGTAGCGAGAAGTATATACTTTTTTACTTTCAGGATTTTGACCACAGCGTGTTACTTTGTACTTATTTTTAGATGAAAACACTGAAATGTTTACATCCAAACAAGATGAGCTTATAAAATATGATGCAATGTTACAGATTTAACTACCAGCAGTATGTAAAATGGCTCAAACTGGCTTCCCTTCAACAAACAACAGAAAAAAACTTCAGATGTACAAACAGTATGCAATAATTTACACACTTTTCTGCACTGAGACCTCCAGGCTTTTGCTTTTCTTAACACTTGGAATGTACTACTACACATCTGCATCTTACCTAAGTAAAGGATCTCTATTCCCTCGACTATCATACAGTGTTTTATATTCAGAAGACAAAAGGTCCCTGTTAAATAAGCAAGATCATTGTCTCATCAGAGGGAGAAACCACCTGCTCCACCCCAGCAGTCGCCAACTCCGTGCAGAGAGCTGAAGGTGTTTCTGAGTTCCGGGTGGGAGAAGCCGTGACCTTCACCTGTCAGCAGGGTTTCCGTCTGGATGGAGCTCAGGAGGTCAAGTGCGGCTCCAATGGCCAGTGGCAGCCTGAACCTCCTCGATGTCTGCCTTCTCCTGATAAAACTCAGTCATCTGGTAACGAAAGTAAGTTCTTATTCCTGCCAGACAGCCAGTTGTGCAGTTGTAGCATCATGACAAATGGACTCCATCTTAGTTGAGTACAAATTCTGCTAAATCTAAAGCAACACATTTCTCTCTGGAATGTGTTCAGCAGGTGGATGTGGCGTGCCGCTAAATACCAAGGACTCCGATGCCAACCTTGCTGACAAGTACATCACAATGACATCTTTTCCCTCTGGTGCCAAAGTCTACTATGTGTGCAATGTTGGATACACTCCAGTAGGAGGCAGCAGGATTCGCATATGTAAAAATGGAAACTGGACACCACTGAGGCTAAAATGTGAACGTAAGGACATTTATTTTCTTCGAAACTTTTCATGGGTTAACTGTCTGCTTGAAGAATCACGTTGCATGATAATGTAGTGCAGACCTTTCAAATCATACTGCACTCTCAGCTGTGTTACCGACATCATAGCTTAAAAATGGATATTATTATTTATTTGGATTGCCTAATTTAAGCAAGTTTCATGTAAATTTACACACAACAATGAAGCTAAAAGGAAATAAATGCCAAAACACCAGCACAGCATTATGATATGTGACCCTTTGGGTGCAGTGGACATGAATGTTAAACTATTTTTATGTTTTTGCCTCCCAAGTGAAGTCGTGCGGTTCTGCAGGAGAGATTCTCAATGGACGCTTTGTTTATTCTGGAGTAGAGTTTGGAGACACTGCTACAGGCGTCTGTGATGACGGGTAAGACAACAACAAAAAAATCCTCATGCTGTGTTGCTTTCTTTCTTCTCTACACTGTTACTGCTATTATTAATGTGACTTTATACACATTTTGTCATCAGGTATACTGTTGTAGGACAGGCAACCAGAAACTGCATGAGTAACGGCTGGGATGGACGTATTCCTGTTTGTGAAGGTGCGACTGACACGACTTGTTACGTTGGTTTTCCCCACACTCTTCAACCACATTAAAACCATTGTTTTTCTCACAGCTGTGGTATGTGACGAGCCTCCAGAGGTGACGGGTGCAGAGAGAAGAGGCCCTCAGGAGCCACCGTACAGTTACAAGACTGTGATTAGCTACCGGTGTCGTACGGGAACGCTTGTCGGTCAAAAGGACATTTGGTGCACCAAGAATGGGACGTGGAGTGCACCTCCGAAATGCAACGGTAGCACTACACACTATAACACGGCAACTTTTCTTTTAGTTTTGATTCTGTCTATGACAAAAATAAATGAAAGATGGGTTTCTTTACCTCACAGAAATAACATGTCCATCACCAAATGTGGCCAACGCCTTCTGGATGGGAGCTCAAAACCGGTCCTTCCGGTACAAGGAGACCATATCGATCGAGTGTAAGCGTGGCTACATCATGAATGGGCCGAACTCTATTACCTGTAATAATGACGGCCGATGGATCCCTCGTCTACCAGAGTGTCGACGCAAACGTAAGTAATCAACCTTTTTTTTTATTGTGTACGTGGTTCCTCTAGTGTTAACTGGAATGAATGCCTGTTTTTTCTTTTTCTTTTCAGTACGTCAGAGCTTCAGGAGGGGATAACAACACAAGCTGAAACATGGCAGCACTGTACTCAATCAATCCTCGTAAACCATTCAACAGCAACAAGTGGAGGAGGAAAATAATCTCTTAAGCTAAACCAACAATGCATTCCCTCCAAAATTAATTTTGTTTAAAGCCAACCTTTAATAATGCACTGTGACATATTTGCCGCTAAAACCTGTATATCATCATTATATCATAATACAGACATTAAAATATGTTTGAGATGAAGCTGAAGTACAGTATGTTTATTTTGATAAGTGTCTTGGGCAGCAACAAGTACAAACTTGTTTCATTCACCTCTGTACATAAGTTTTTTTTTCTTTTTTCCTTTTTTTTTTTTTTTTTTACAGTTGATAATGTTATGTGTATCATCTCTATAGACTAAACTGTGAGTGAGCATTTCATGAACAAACAAGCTACAAGAAAATAAGAACACCAATTCCATTCATTTAAAAAGACAATACAAAATCCAGACATTTCTTTACATGAGCAATAACAATTCAAGTGCAAATATCATTATCAACTCCGATACATCATAGCAAACTCTCGTTTAAAAGGCAACAATTAAAAAAAAAAAAAAAAAAAAAAATCAGGTTGCAGGAAAGAAGCTGATTCTGATGGGGGCAGGGAGAATTTCAGGGATTGAGGGCACATGGGCCAAGTGAACACAATGAGTTTGGTATCTATGCAGAGATGTGAGTGATCAATAAATGATACTAAAATTAAAAAATTATTGCTGAATTTTAGACGGACTGGAGTTCCTCGCTGCTTGGCCCAATGTATCCCTCGAGTTTGACAATGCGGTCAAATTCCCTTTGTGTCATCCTAAAGTTTGAATTCTTAAAATACAATTTGGTACATAATATGTAGTGTACCATCCCACATATTTTTATTTACATGAGTGGGGACTAAACAGCCTTAGATGTTGGAGTATTACCTATAGCTATTCTGGGTTTAGAGGGTTGAATATACAGGTTAACAGTGGGGATGATCACATTCACTCGCAGTCATCTACACCAATTTGACCGCAGTGATGGTATTCACAACTTTAAAGGAATAGTGCCTATGCTTTCAGAAATATAGTCCTGTTGTCACTATCGAGAAAGAGGGAGCTTTCATCATCCGTTAGCTCACTTGTGCTTCTTTCTTATGTCTCAGCTTCTCCCATTGAGGCTGTGAGAAGTGTGACACACCTGAGTTTCCTCACTCTAAGATCCTCCAGAAGCCTCCTCTGGACTCGTCTGTGTGAGGTGCACTTAAAGGGATTGTTTGGTTTCTTTGAAGTTGGGTTGCATGAGGTACTTATTTAAAGTCAGCGTATTGCCTTCAGTAGATCACAGCTGGCAACCGTCCCAATGTGGAGAAGCAGAGAGGACTGCTGGCAGGAAGCAGGAAGCTCAACGGTACACTGCTGTGAACGTGGTCAGCAGCAAAATGGATTTTAGCCACCAAAGAAAAAGAAAAAAAAAAAGATCTATTTGGGTTTACACTACATTTAGAAAATTCGGAGTTCTTAACCTTTCTGTCAGACAGCCCTTTCCTTTGGCACAGTTCCCCAACAGTGGAACCTTTGTATTCTTACGCATAAACACACCTGTGTTGCACTGCTGGAACTCTGGTGCACTTATGTGAAGGAATATAGAGGTTTTATGGTTGAGAAGATGTGGTTCCAAAGGAAAAGGGTGTCTGACAGTGAGGTAAAGGGGATTCTAAGTATGGTATACACTTGGATAGATTTTTTTTTAGTTGGCTAAAATAGGTTTTGTCACTGAGCCTGTACACAGCAGCACAGTGCTCAGCTTCCCTGCCATCAGCTCTCTCTGCTTCTCCACTGATCACAATCTACTGTGGATAACACGCCAACTATGGATGAGTACCTCAGGTAAACCAACTGCAAAGATACTAAACTACCTCTTTAAAGGCATTGGAAGGTCCTCCATGATGTAGAAAGAGGAGGTGAGAAGCATAATAAAAAGCACCCAATTTCTGATATGTAACTGCTCTGAAAACCAGACGTGGTAATTTGTGAGCTTTAGAGTTGCAATAGACAGATTTAATTACTTTTGGACAGAGCCAAGATAGCTTTTCTATCTTGGCTTTTTTTCATGGGGTCAGCTATGGACACCCAAACAGGTCACAACAAGAATTTTTTGATTTGCGTTACCTCACATCACTATTTTGTTACCTTTCCAATAACGTTTGTGTTCTCTTGCAATATGCTTCATTTCCTCCTGATCCATATGAACAGTTTGTAGGATGATCTAGGCTAGTTATAAAACTCTTCCACACATCAGAAAGTAGGAATAATGTGACATGATGCTTTCATTGCTCACTATTCTTTTTAAAGGGATGATCTCCACCAGTGTCCAGCTGCTGGTTGTGAGAGCGGTGGCCCTGTCTGCTGTGATAGTGAGGCTGTAGCTGGATATATGGTTACTGTTGGGACTATGACTGCTGCTGTGGTTCAGTCTATGACGCTATGGACGTGTCCAGCTGTTAAATCTTTGAACCTGCTGTGCTCATTTGTTTTGCTCTATGTGCTTTTTTTCCAGCAACATGGAAGCTTCAATACAACGCTTAGCCAGCAAAACAATCGCTGCATCCACTCCACTGCTGCATGTGGTCAGAGTTAAAACCATTAGATAGCCAGAATCATAATGACAAAAGCACATCCGTGACTGAACAGGATCAGCTACATCATTCCAGGGCAGCCGGGGAGCTGCTGAACCAGCTCCTCTAGTTTTCTTTCTTAATGCGATGATGCAGAGTTTTATCTGAGCAGCTCAGAGTGCACTGATTCTCCGGAGTCACTTTATAAGCTGTGGTGTGATATGATATCATGTAGCCTGTAGAGCGACGGCAGAGCACCCTGAGCTGTGGCTGCTCAGATACAACTCCGCATCATTGTATTAAGAAAGAAAACTAGAGGAGCTGGTTCAGCAGCTCTTCGACTGTAAGACTTTGGATGAAATAGTTGTCACTGTGGCTGCAGCTATTGCTACAATTTTGGTAGTGACGTTGGTTTTAATGATTGTTACAGTGACTGTGCAATGTTTGAGTTTGTGCGGTGCCAGTTTTGCCGCCTGAGCGTCGTATTAAAGCTGCCGTATTCCAGGAATCCTACATCAACAAATGCATCCGTCTCAGAAGCAACCACAGGGTCAAACAGTAACAGGTGGACGCACCAACAGCGCCACAGATTGAACCACAGCAGCAGTCAGCGTCTGGACAGTAATCATATATCCATGCACAGCTTCACCATCACTGTCAGGAAGAGCAGCTGCAGCTAGACACCGTCTCAGATGAGCCTTTTAAAATAAATATTGAACAATAAAGTGTTTTTCTAGTCTGACACTATAACTGGACTGGACCAAACTGTTCAAAGGGATTTTATTGCAAGTAAACAAAGGTAGCTCTCAAAAAATTCTCGTTGTGACCTTTGAAAATTGCTCCATACTACGCTAACACTCGACTGGCTGTAGATTCCTATTTAATGTAAAAACATGCATGGTAAGAATGTCCTCATTAACGCTTGATACAAAGGCAAAAGGCAGATTTCACTAAATGTTGCTTTATTCCTTTAACTGGCAGATCCTAACATAAAGCAAACTTTTTTTTTTCACTAAACTTAAATTATTTTACCCTGTTTTGGTTACTCTTTTGAAACAACATAAAATATATTTTTTTACACACCAAATACTCGTTTTTTTAATTACATTTTAAGACTTTTTTTTTTGTATTTCTTTAAGAGTAGTTACACATTGAGGCCTAAACATCTTCTGTCCATAATGACTGATAAATATTTTATACAATGAATCGCAGCCCAAAACACATTCTGCAAGTTTCATTGAGGGGGAGTCGCAATATTGTTTATCCAAAATGAATGTGTGCCTTTTCATTCATTGCACTTTGTACTAAAAAAGGATGACAGGCTCTGAATCTAGTGCACAAAACAACTTGACCCGCCCGTTTTGGGACGGTCTTTGGAAGAGCTGTCTTCATTGGGACAGAACAACATGTGAACAGGGCGGGGATCAGGTGTCTTTGGATTTGAGACAGGTGGGACATCAGGGGCAGAAAGTGATTTTGGGGGTCCTGCGTAAGCAAATTAGGATTAAAGAACTCAACCCTCGTCTAATTTATTTTCATTATTTACAAGACTGAAATAAAAACACAATAAAACTGGTAGTCCACAGACAGGCAATGTGAGATTATCAACTTACTGGGTGTAAGAACTTAAGTATTTCAGGTTCGGAGCTTCCCTTTGTTTTAAAACTAAAGATTATTAGTGTGTAGAGTACATCAGAAAGACAATATGAGATTGAAGAATTAAAGTGACCTTTTAAAAGAAGCAGCAAACATAATGTCCCTCAAAGACATTTCTCTCTCTCTCTGAGACATGTTCCACTAGACATCACATTATCTCATTTCTGTGGCTCGCACAATTATTAGTTTATCTCCCAAACGTCCACTTTGTTCCTAGAATGATAAACCACCGTTTCGTATTTGCTTTAAGTTGACTTGAAAAAAAGAGCAACAGAAATTATCTGAAGGTTGGAAAACGCTGGCACAGTCTAAACAGACAGAGCAAAACATAGATTAACTGTTTTAACAGTAAAACCCTCGGAAACTGCTCTAAGAGCGCAAATCTAGCCGGGCTTTGAATGACCTGGAACACAGCTGCAACATTAATTTTACAACTGCTCCTCCTCGAGGACGACACACAGACACTGAAGATGGAACCAGAGTTACACAACACTTGCACGAAACTTACAGTCATACTTAATGGTAGGAGTTGGAGCTCAGACCGCACCTGTAAGCCAACACAACAACAAGCTCTATCAAGCTCAAACCACACACAAAATGTCACTCCTACTGTCTGAAACAGGCGTTTCTATTGTTGTTTTCTGTGAATCCATTGCACATCACAATAGAAACCAAACCCACTCACATACTGTACATCCCCACTAGAATGCTCGAGATCACTGACCTGTGCTGAATGGAAACTGACAAAAACACAAAAACAAAAAACAAAAAAAAAAAACCTAAAACACAAACGGTGTTCAATATTTCTCAGGTCTGCATAGTGTTTATCGTCAAAGCCTATGAAAAATAAGAAGGGTAAACATACTAGGATGTTTCGTGTTTTAAGTCCTGTGAGAGTCGTGGGCCTGTAACGTGAAGGGGGATGTCTGGGTAAAGGGTGAGGGGACGGGGATTTGGTGGTGGTGGTGAAGGGGGGGTCGTGATCCGGCACATCAGCAGCTGCAACACTTTTACTTGTATGGTCGCAGGAAAGCGGAGACTTTGCTGCTTATGAGACGTATGAAGGAGCGGGGCAGCATCTCGTTGGACTCCCGAGTGGTGTACTTAAAGTAGTTGTTTGGGTGAGCCAGCACGTCAAAAAGAGTCTTAATCAGTTTTTTATCCTGTAGGGAAGAACAAATATGTGTAAACCATTCACCAAAACTCATTTTCATCCTTAATAATTGTCTGAATGGCATCCGTAGCTGTTGCGCAATTCTGGAGAACAAACATGAATGTATCATCTGACTCATGCAAGTAATAAAGTTTACTGGCAACAGCTTTGTTGAGTCTTGCGACACCCTTAATGAGCAGCTTATTGCTTAACTAAATTACCTCTCTCAGGTGCTCTCATACCAACAATGAATGAAGCCAATGATTTACACCAGAGAGAGGCTGAGCTAACCTTGAGGATTTCTTGATGGTTTTCTGAGGCGTAGAGTCGTCCGTCCCGCACTATGTCCTCCACGAGTTGTTCATAGTCCTCTGAATTAATAAAAACAACACAGGTTGCACCAGTCATCTCATGACGTGCCGAAAATAGGTCATGCATATCCAAAACAAGCTAGGTGATGAAATAATATAACACAGGCATGACAAAAAAAAACAAAACAAAACAATTCAGACAGCTTGAAACTCCCTCTGACGCAGTTTATTGTCACCCAATGGGATGTTGCACTGGATAATGGAAAGCAACACACAGTAACATTAATGTGGGTGAGGGGATTATGTCTTTATTTAATCCAAACTGTGTTGGGATTATGTAGTACATACCTTAGGCCAGCTTACACTGCAGAAGTTTAAAAATCCTAACAAATGTTGAAATCTGACTGAATCACACACATAAAGGGGAACCTTCACAGATGTTCTTCTCACTAATCTCAGACATGTACGCGCTACACATACGGAAAATAACGGTGAGTCACACACCACAGGACGTAATTGAGATTAATGAAAGCAGGACAGCTACAGTACGTACTGGAAGTAAAAAGAAAAATGAAGCTCTAGTTTGTAAATCTAATGCACTGTCATGAGGGGTGAAATGGGGGTAAACTGGCTCCTGTAGTTTGGCCTTAAAGGAGCAACAATGTTTTTAAACGTAAATATAGCATTAATATAGCAGCAGACAATTATTTGCCTAGTAAGGATATAGTGAAATAATGTCGTCCTGAAGTCACATTCCCATGTGTTCTAATTTCAGCCGCTGTGTTTTATGTTTTATAGCTGGTTTGGCTGCATGTGCATGTTAGTGCATGTGAGTTCCTCCCTTTGAAACTGTTGTCCCTCTACGCATTTAAAAAGAGACTTAGAGTGACTTCCCAAACCGCACTGTAAAATCAAGACGGCAGAGTAGACGGAAGTGCATTCTGGAGCATTCAAGAGGTTCCCCCAAGAACCATCAAATATTTTTTAAAGAGTTTTTGTTAATAACCTAATTTATAAACACTTGTCTTGTTTCAGCTCAGTGTGAGTCTCTACTGCTGTTCTGTGGCTCTCCTATTCATCTCCTTGGAAACTATGTGCGTTTTATCCAAGAATTTATCAAAGAAATCAACAGATTTGTTTAAAATGAAAATAAATGTTAGTGGGGAACTTCCTTGTTATATTTCTCTAGAATTAGTGTTCCTAGTAATCCAGGTAAAACAGACAAAACACAGTCACACTTGTCATTAAAGACACTGTATATGACTTTCAGAACCAGTGGATGTCGCCAGAACACCAGTATCTCCACCAACACTGCTTTCTCATTTTATAGAAAGGGAGGTTGTATGTATGGAGCCAACAAGAAATAATAAAAATAGTTTTTGCAAACAAAACTAACACTGGGCTCTGGGTAGATAGTCCGAGAGGTAATGTTTTTTTTGTTGCTACTTTTTTTCTTGTGAACTTACCCATCCAAGGTGTTAATAAACTGAATTAGAGTCATTTTATTTACATGACAATATGTAGTAGAAAGTGAAATAAATGAGGATTTTACATACCATCATAAGTAACGTAGGGAATCTGAAAGCCTCTGGCGCTGTTGGCCTCATTGGACTTAAAATTAATCCACAGACGTCTAGATCGAGCTGTGAAGGCGATGGGCCGCTCATAGGTCTGACATGTCTCATAGGTGGTGATGGATGTAGCCGACCCTTGCAGGGGCACAGAACAACCATCAGGCTTTCAGTATCATTTCTTGTATGGTGCAATTATGTATACGGAAATTCTAGTGAAACAACAGCCGGAAAGAGAGATACTCACAGTTCTTCCTCATGACCAGCACATCTCCACATTCATCCTCTGAGGGCAGGAAAATCTCTGGAACTACGATTAGGATCTTGCGCTTGCTGGGCGGATTGATGTTCCAAATACACTCCACATTAGCAGGGTAATTACCAGGATAGTTAGGTGACTCAATGTAACCCATGAACTCGCCCATCTCACCACCACATTGCCTGTCTAGACGTACACAAACAAACCAAATTGGATTCAAGCTCTCACATTTAAGGAATGTGAAACACAAAACAGTAATTTTTATACTCACTCTTGCACTGTGAGACACTTGTGGCACCATCAAAATCAGTGGTGGTGTTTCCTGGACAGGAAATGCAGTAGTTCTGCCTAAACTCCGTCTGATAGGTCCCGACTGGGCAGCGGATACACCGGTGTACTGTGGTGTTGTAGTAATGACCTGGAGAACACTGAACTGCAGCGTGGAAATAAAGAAACACGTTTATGTGCCATCATTTGAGTACATTTTCTAATTAAAGAAAAACAAAAACAAAAAGAAAGCCCAAGCTGACCTTTGACTTCACAGTCATGGAAGGAGCTAGCGCCCTCCCGCTTGGTGCTCAGTCCTCCCCCACAGGGGAAGCACAGGGTCCGACCCAAATCTGGCTGGTAGCTGCCCTGAGGACACGGCTGGCAAGGTTTGAACCCATCGCTGGAGAAGTACCCTGTTGGGCACTGGCCTGGATGTGATTTAAGGAACATGGAGGTCAGATTTACCAGGGAGGGCAGCCCTTCATATGTTTAACACTGTCAGTGGGACCTTAAGTAGGCTACCTGCACAGGAGGAGATGTTTCGTGCCCCAACAGGTCCATGGCCATCGCTGCCAGGGCAGAGGTCACAGGCCAGCTGCCCCTCCTTCTCCTGGAAAGTGCCGGGTGGACACTGGACACAGCGCTCCTGCTCACCGTGGTAATAAGACCCTGGCAAACATCTGACTGAGAGAATATCCACAATGGCTCCAGTCAGAGATGAGCACACACATCACTTTAATTAATCATTAAGTCAGTACAAATAAGTAAGTAATATGTACAAATAAATTTAATGTTCAACTGCTCCCTCCACACTGTATTGAATAGTGATGTATGGCAGATTGCTAGTTGCAATAAGGTTACATTCTTAAAGCTGATTATCTATCACAGTAAAAGTGCTCCTGGTCCAGCTCTCTGATCTTACCACATCTCCCACTGTCCCTCTCCCAGCCCGGGCCACAGTTCTCCGGAACGGGAGCAGCTTGGGGAAGTTTTTGGGCCACCTCGTATTCCAAACCAGCCACCCGGATCAGGAAGCGCTCTTGGTTGATGGACTTCTTCAAAGCCTTGATATAAGTCTTGACCTGCTTCTCCATGCGCTGTCTCAGGCAGCTGAGATTGCAACTTCCTGGTTAAATAAATAAAAAGATTGTTTGAATAATCACATTTAACTGTTTAATTCGATCGGATCTGCAGTCGATTGATAAAAAGCTCAACACAGGCAGTAACTTCTCTCAAGGTTTTGCTTTCAGTGAAATCTCTGACCTGTAGTGTCTCCAGGTTTGACCTCAGCCTCCAGCTCCAAAGTAATGCGTGTTACCTCTTTGTTAGAGGGGTTTCGAGCACGTCTCCCTTTAGCTTTCTTGGAGGAGTCACATTTGAGGTTCACAAATGTTACCAGGCAGTTGCTGCAGGGCTGCCCTCCTCCTGCAGACACATCATATCACATAATCAGTGTTATGATACTTGCAAACCTCATTCATAGGTTCATAATAATTCATGCTAACTAACATTTGAGAGATGCAGTCTATAATTTTGTGTACCAGAAAAATAATAAGTAGTTATATTACAGCTGTAACTAGTTATTATTTTAATTACTGAATCCCCTACCGGCTACTTTTTTGATCAGTCAAGGAAATGTTTTGTATATAAAATATCAAAAAAGCATGAAAATAGCCTGATAATTTACTCAAATTGAATTACTTGCTTTGTCCAGCCACCACCTTAAATTATTTAGACAAAAAATGGCAAGGATCAGCAGCAAATCCTCACTTATATGATTCTTTAACTTTTTTATTTTTAGAAATAAAATATGCCTACAGTAACACACACAGATAAAAACTGACCTGGTCCCAGTGTCCGTCCCCTGTCCTCCGTCCTGCCGGTGAGTTTAGGGTGCAGGTGACATTTGGCATTTTTAATCTTGAAAGATGCCGTCTGCTTCACTGGAGGGGCCAAAGTCTCTACAGACAAACACAGCCCAGTGGGTAGGATGACAATGAAACATCACACCACTATCACTGCAAAGACTTGTCTGTGCCGTTCTGATTCGTGAAGAGAGTCTAAGACATTGGAGGGTAACGAACCTATGCAGCTCTGACTGCTGCTGGAGTTGAGCCTGGCAGGAGACTTCCCTCTGAGAATGGGGATACCACAACTGACTGAGTAGCTGTTATCAGACTCTGCAAACACACAAACAAACGTAAGCGCATAAAATGTTTGCAGTTTTGAATTTCAGAGACTTCTGTTTGCTGGTTTGTGATTGCACTCTGACTGACGGGGGTGGGTGACATACCTGCCAGATAGTGAGCCTTAGAAGCACATGTAAGAGAGCAGCTCTCTTTCTTGCCCGTCTTGCTGCAGGTCAGAGTAGCTTTTGGTGCTATCAGTCCAGGAGGACATTTCACCAGCTCTGAGAGGAAATAAAAGCCACACTGAATTACATACTGCTGACAGCTGAGAAAGAGAGATATAAATTGCGTAGGTGCTGCTATATGGGACCTGATGTGCTTTGAGTGTGTTGGTGAACTGACCACACGGGGGCAGTGCTGTCACATACCAATACAGTCCTTTCTGTTCCAGTGCAGCTTGTACCCTGGTGGACAGGTACACTCGTAGCTCCCCAGAGTGTTGATGCAGCCATATTTACAACCCCCACGATTTATACTGCATTCATCAATATCTGCGAATACACGTGTTGACATATGAACATTTTGTGGCCACGTGTAAAACAACTAACAGCATATGTTTACCCGCAGTCTAAAAGATCCCCAAAAAATACGAGCGAAAAAGTGATTTTTGTTGACGAGGAACAAACAATGTGATCAGACCCAAACAATCCTGATGAGCTGAACGAAAGAGCAATCGGCCTGTAACAAAACAGTGCAGCTGTGAACGAAGGAGTTCTGGGAGCTCAGTTCAATCCATCCTGTCAGAGGGTCATATTTTGGGAAGATTTATGTGTTTGCATGTAAACAGAGGTGATTTCTCGTTTTGATGTCACCCGCAATAAATTTCATGGTCCAAATTTCTCTTCTCTTCACGGAGGGAGACTTGTGGTAAGCAGTAAATTATAATCACCTTTTCAAAACACATGCTGAGCTAAAAAACCACTAAAAGCATCCGGGATCCAGATGAAGTCTGGCTGCCATCGATGCCAGACAGAAAATTAGTTTAGTGAGTAGAGCTGAGGATTCGGCAGGCTGCGGACAAGTGGCAGAGACACCGGGAGAAGAGACGGAGATAATGGCAGTGATTGATGATCTGGCCTGCTGATATGAAATGCACTTTCTTGTCTCATTCAATTATTCACCCAGAATAAAAACAGTCTGCGTGCCGCTGCACTCCCTGAAGAAGATGATGACTTCATCAGCGGCGCTCTGTCGGTGTGTAGCCAGCACTGCTTGGAAATGATGTGAGGGATGTGCTGCTTATCCTCTGCATCAAAGCACTTGATTTAAAGGACAAAGAACTCTAATGAATATCTGATGGAAGCAGAGCTCATCTGCCAGCAACTGTTGTTTTGACTTCTTTGTTCCTCCCATACTTGAAATGTAACCAAATAGATGCATTCTAACATTTCCCCGGATCTTTTTAATCTTTTCTTCGCGTGCTCTTACACAGCAGAGCATGGAGACGAGCCAAGAAAGAAAAGGACATAATTTAAAAAAAGAAAAAGACAAACTGACTTTAGACTCAACAACTGCTGTGTGTCATGCCGAGGAATGTCAGGATGAGTTGGAGAGTTAGTGGAAATGTGGTCATCTTTAAATTTTAATCAATTTTGTGTGCCTATTCATCACCGTCAACAACTCCCAGTCCAAACAATGTCATAATTGAAGACTTCTTTCCTCAAGTACAATCTGTGCAGCTCTTTCTATATTTTACTTTCAAAATATAAACTTGAACCCTGTTTGCGTTTTGCATGAATAAACATCTATTTTTCTTAGATCTGTACACACACATGTTTTTTCAGTACCACAAGAGCGCATTTTTTTTTGTAAAGGTCAACGCTAAATGGATCAAATGAGGTAAATTCAAAAATCTATTTAGTTGCAACTTCTCTCAGGCTATTTTCTTACGAGATAAGCAAAAATGAGCGGACTGTTTTGCTAGCTGTGAGGGAGAATGGCTGGATATACTCTCACTGGGGAGGAATGCTGACAGGCCTCGGCACAATGCTTGACAGCAGGTCACTGACCTAATTGGGTTTGTTTAGGGTGAGTCTATTGTTAAACACTGAACACAGCTTTCTGGATTGTTTGGCAGCTATATTTCAGTTGATAAACCACACAGGGAATAACATAACCTTGGTTGTGGCTGGGAATGAAGAAAGTACAACGGGAAGCACCATAAATCTCTGGGGTTATCTAACAGTTCCGACAGCGCCGATGAAAAGCGAGGGGAAATCATTCATCACCGGCTCTCTCAACAATGGTATAGAGAGTCATTTATGCCTGACCATCTTCTCTCCACTCAGCAGCTCAGTGTGGCCTGATCACAGTCTATCATGTGAGTAAAAGCTTTACAAATCCAATTCTGGTGCATTTGTTCCCTGAGCTGACAGCTAATACAGCTACCCATGTGTGGAATGGATCCCATGAACCTATTAAACTGCTTTGAAATATAGTACAGCATGTAACAGTGAATGGATGAAATTAAGTTACCGCTTACAGTATAATGCAATCCAGCAGCATTTAAAAACAGCCTCTCAGAGTAGGTCTACGCATTCAAAAAGCTGCTATTTATGGCTGGTTCACTTTAGTGGATTTCATAACTTGAAATGTTGCTTTTCAATCCACCTCCATCACGTGGCACTTGTATGGTAGTATGCCACCTGAAATTTTTAAAGCCTTTTTACATTTCGTAGTTTGCTGCAGTAGAGCTGCAGGCAGGAAAGAGGAGTTTACCATGCAGCAACGGTCCTCAGTCGCTCATGTAATCTGTTGTGCATCTAATTTGTTAATTATTGAGGGTTTAACTAACTGCACTGTTGTGTTTGTGCAGACCTCGTGATCACCTCCATCTACACGCGACTGCTCTATTGTCTCACTGTGCCAAATTCTGTCACAGCGTCTGATCACTAGACCTGTCAAACTACAAACAAAAATCACAGAACAAATCACAGCAAAGCTATGTATTTCGAGTGCATATGCTGTCTCTCTGTGTCTCTCCTACAGCTACTGTGAGGCCCTGAGGCGCTGGAGACAGCAGCAGATTCTAAATGGTGATACACACTCCATCAAAGGGCTGCCGCAACACCCTGATGTGCTCTGGCGGGCCTCTTGGCAGATCTGACGTGCCCCCACACACCTCCTCCTGACACCAAAGGCTGCTTCGGCTCGCTGTTCTACAGTGTACAGTAGCTACCTGCTAACTTTTGACGGACACGGTCGTACTCCTCCCCCTTGAAGGACCGTCATTTTCATGATATTATTTCAGGTTTTAGTTCATTAAGTACAGCACAAATTGTCTATGCTTTATATTACTGCCAAGTGTAGCGTAAGTTCTTAGATTGATTTCCTGCCTTCCAGGCAGCCACCTGCTTCAGCTCATTTCAGTCCATTTGAAAATCAACTTGCAGAGACTTAAAGCTGGCTTGTGATAGGTAATTCATCAGCAAGACTATTTAGTCCAAGAATGCAGCTGCATGCGTGGGCTTTTCTGTTATTTTATTTTTTTTAAATGTTGTGACATCCAGATTTAGGGGTAAGCTGGTGAAAAGATCAACAATAAGTACAGACTGTGAAAACAATAATGTTAATTTTGCTTGTGTCTTGCAGGCCACTCTCAAGTCACAGATGTTGGACTTATAACAACTCTTTTTTTTGTTTTTTCAAACAGAGGTAATTTGGATTACCTGTCAAGATGTTTCAAGCTGATTGGAGAAATGGATTTTCATACATTATGTAACAAAATAAGAACCCAGTCGCTACACCATAAGCGAATGCTTCATTCAGTGTATCTTGGAAGGGGAAAAATTGAACGTCCACCAGTTTTGCTTGGCTGTTTTTCTACAATCAACAAATGCTCATCAACAGACATTTAGTTTATTTAACTGAAAAAACAGAAGTGCAAAAAAGATGTAAAAGGTCCACTGTCAAATGCTTTAGACATTAAACTCAACTGGATAATGCAAATTCAGAGTCCTCACTTGCCACTGAATGCAGCAAAATCACCAAACCCTCACAGACCGAATTGATGTCACCCAGTAAATGATTGAGAGCATTGGTTGTAAGGGCTCCATATATCATTAACAGGATTGGCTTTTTAAGATTTTAGTATTCAAGCTGAGGGGAACACAAATGTCTCTACCAAATTTCATGGCAATCCATACAACAGTATTTCAGGCACTACACTCAACGCCATATATGCAAATTTATGTGTGGTTGTAAAGTCAGAAGGACCACAAAAGTCATTAGGTTGCATCCTCAGGAGACTGGTACAAATTTTCACCATCAGCCTTTCCAAAGGTTGTTTAATCTACTTCAATGCAGACCAAAGTGGTGTACCGACCATCTGATTGACAACTGACATGCTGAGAGCTAAGCTGCTAGCAAAGCTTAAAATAATGATTATGAACAATCAAAGAAAAATACTTTAGATAGGCTATATTTAAAATACAGGCCGAAAAGCAGCAACTAACACTGACACACAGTTAGAAACCCTGTGATCGCTAACACAAACTTTCCAAATCCCCTAATTGCACGAACGGGGTTATAAAATAATCTGCAACTCCAGAGCTTTCTCAGTTTTGGACCTATAGGGCTGTGTCTATCTACGTGTCTGCATCATGGCTCCGCATGGAAAAGAGTTGTCAGAGGATCCAAAAATGTAACTGTGAAACTTCATGTAATATGGAAAAGAATACAGGAAAGTCGGCGACCAACTAAAAGCCGGTTGAAACGTATCTGCACCTGTAATCAGTACAATGAGCCTAACACCACTAATCAGAGCTACAGTTACCATCCTCCTAAAACGATGCCACAAACAGTGTACCACTTTTACATTCTTCACTTCTTCCATCCATCCATTTTCTATACACCAACAAGAAAGTGCTTTAGACTTCACTGAGAGGTTATCAATGGAAATCAGAGTGTCTGTGACAGCAGTGTGAAGGACACTGAATAACATGAACCTCTATACACAGCATCCAAGAAAAGCACTCTAGCATGCTCTTTGGTACAAAACTGCCAGATTCACTTTGCCAAAGGACATGAAAAGAAGCCTGATGAATACTGAGAGTACATTCTTTGGTCAGATGGGACCAAGATAAAATTCTTTGGTTTAGATGGGGTCAAGTATGTCTGGCTTGAGACTCATCAGAACCAGCACAGTGAATGCATAGTCCTGACAGTAGGAGGTGGGGTGGGGGGGCTGGTGCTGATATGAGGCTACATAAGGTGTTAGAGACATGACATTTATAAATGGCAGCATGGATGCCTGTGGATATACCAAAATACCATCTGACTCCCAGTCTGCAGAAGCTTGGCAGAAGAAGAACATACTAGCACAACAATGAGACAAATGACACTGCCAAAATCACACAAGAGTTTCTAAAGAAGGAAAAACTGACTGACCAAGTATGTCGCCTGACTTGAAGCCAACAGAACACCTTTTGGGTATTTTAAAGAGAAACGCAGAGCAAGAATGACAGAGAGTCTCAGTAGTAAGTCGGGGTCCGACTGAGTTTGTCATTATAAATACAGCAGGACATATGAAGCATTGAGTGTAGATTTTTCTGGTACTGAATTCCTACTGTGGGGCCTGTATTTTTAATATAGTAAATCTGAACTGGTAGTTTTTAATTTCCCACAAGAGAAAATACTGCACTGTTTAACCGAGACGGAATGCAATTACTGTAAGTTGATACGATTTTGAGTCATTTGACATTTAAGTGATATTACATTGTACTTACTTCTGTGGTGCGCTGTATTCTTTAGAGAGTAACCACGCAAAGTATATAAAAACCTTTAATCTGTCAGCAGCGCTTTATGTGAGCTGTCAGTAGTAATATAAATAAACATTAATCATCCGTTTCTAGTGTTGTGTTTTTCCCCTTAAAAACAAGAGTAGCTTAATGGAAGGTTAGCAAAGAGGTGTGAGATGCAAAGGAAGAGTGATGGACAGGAGATTTACACTGAGAGACAAGGCGTGGGGGGAACAGACATGCTGGCTCACCTCCACAGTGTGCCAGGCCGTAGAGGACGTAGCCTTTATGACAAAGACACTGGAAACTGCCGGCAGAGTTGACACAAAAGTGGTCGCAAGCGCGGTCGAAAGAGCACTCGTCAATGTCTGTGTGGATAGAAAGACATGCTGTTAGAAACTTCTCAAACACTTCAACAGATTACAAAAAAAAAAGACCCTTCAGTCATCAAACAGGACTCTCCCGTTGTCCTATCATGGCACATATATTTCTGTTTTCATCTTCTGTATTGTATTCATTGTTTGTCATGAATTGCAATGGGTCAAATCACATGTCATAACAAAAAAAAAGTGTCTTTTCAAAGAAGCTGTCTTCTGTCTGGTGCTTGGTATAGCAGCTGACCTCCTGCAGTTGTGCAGTTTTCCATTTCGATGCACTGAAATGAAATTTTCCAAGTAGTTTTGAAATAACAAGCGGTCACAGCAGGAGTCAAAAGAAAGTCTGCTCTCCACCTGATAATAGGAGCCAAGGGGCTGTTTTTTTCCCCCTGTCCACATAGAACCTGCCAATCACTTTGCTTTTTCCCCATCTTAAACATCCCATAAGTGACCGTCAGCTGTTAGATAGCCCATAATTGGACTTTTTGCTCTTGTTTTGAGGTCTTATGAAAATCGCATGTTAAAACATTACTGTAAAAACAAATCAACGTAGCATTTTGATAAATAAGACAAAGTATGTTTGTGGTTTTTCTGGTCCTGTCAGCGTCATCACACCTGCAAATCTACAGTGAAGCAGCTTGTTCCTGTCTGTCAGTAGCCCCTCAGTCTTATCTTTCTGGGCTTTTCTTCTCTCTTACACATGCAACCTGATAAGTTGCACAAATGCCACGGACTCAAAGACCACAAAGACTGATACATGAAGCTCCAGACGATTGATGACATTTGGTTGCATTATGATCAAAATCTCCTTTAATGTTAGCAGCACTGTGTGTCAAGCCCAGGCAGCACATGGCGCAAGAAGACGAGGATGTGCTACAACATTGCCGGATGTCTAATTGGCTAATTTAAAAAAAAGGTTCCAAAGATTTTCCCAGGAACATCCCGCTTTCATCTGCTTCATCTCTCTGGGTTATGAGGTAGCGCCAGGTGCCATCAAACAGATGACGCAGGTATATCAGAGCAATTACAGGAGTTCAGTTAAATAATGGGCTGCCTTGAAGAAACAAGGAAGACAAGACTGATAAATGTCTGCACAGATCTTGCATAGTTAAACGGCATTTCACATAAGATTTACACTTTCACACTGGGCATAATCCTTCATAGATCGCGCAGCGGAACTCAGCCATTGATGTTAAATACTTGACAGACATGTGAGCGCCAAAAAGGGAGAGATTAAAAGCCTATTAAGTTATCAATTTACAAAGCTGTACACAGGCTTTGAAGGAGATTCACAAGTTTATGTTCAAAAGTTGGAAAAACACCAAAATGTCTAATTGATGCTGACATCAAGTCCACCTTATCTTGATAAACACATCAACTCTGATAAAAAAAAAATGAAAGCAATTCAAGTATCTATCATCCAACAAACAAAAAGATCTTTAAGAAGCTGCTGCACTGATTTTTCTATGGAAGGGCCAAAAATTTCTTTTACATGAGCAATTTCAAAACTGGAGAATCGTCTTAGATGAGTAGTAAAGCCTCTTTAAGAACCTAAAAGAGAAGTCCAGTTGCTTTTAATGAAGCTCAAAGGATTACCACGACCTGGAAGACTGAGAATCTACAGACATATTTCAAAGAGCAAGCTCATATAGTCGTTGCTGTTTGTCCCCTATGGAGGCCTCAGGAGATTCCTCAGAGCAGTGGTAGTGGAAAGCAACATGGGCTGGCACACGCTGCATGAGGCATTGCAAAAGTGATTGTTTCTGGCATATTGAGGATAAACTTTATTCAAGCACACTGTTAAACAAAGAGTCTAAAACCCTCTGGGAATTAGGCGTGGTGGCTGAGTATATTCTTAAAAAATGTTGCAATAAGTGACGCCAGAATTCAATCTGCAACTTATCATTACATTGTTTTGTGCAGTGCCACGCTTCAGAGTAGATGTGTGAATACATCTGGGACTGCAGACAACCCTTATTTACAAGGCGGCTAAGGTGAAGTATGCAGTGTGTGGGCAAGACTACAGCATGAGGTGATGCACGTGTACGAAAAGTAGTCACATCGCAGAACCTGAAGACCGAACATGGAATTCACAAATCAGAGTTTTTGTCAGTTTGCCGTCTCTCTTCACTTTAACCTCCCACTTCATTCAAAATAAAATAGCAAAATGAGGCCGACTGAAATGACGAAAAGGTCACAGTTGCTTATACAGAACAGATAAGGCCTCCATCATAGATGTTCCCTTTGGAGAAAACATGAGATCTGATGAACATCTCTCTGAGTGCCCTCATGTGGATTAAGAGTGAGAAGAAGATGAGAAGAGTCTAGAGGGTTTTGTGGGTGGAAGAATGCTGACAGGGGCTCAGCAGACAAGCCCAATCCTGACTTATGGGCCTTGGTCCACTGACAGCAGAGAAACACCATGACTGTTTAAACCAAGATAAACCCAGAGTTCAGTTTACACATCTCAACACCTCGTGGAGACGGCAAACGTCTGTTTAAGTGTAACTGATACCTCAGAACACCTCGACTCACGACCGAGCATCTTAACTATTAACAGAAGAGTAAAATGGCTGTAAATTTCCTGCAGCTGCACCTAATCTTCTCCATCTTTCAGTAGCAGATTTGTGCTCATAAGTGAGATGCATGATGGGATTGTTACTGGCTATTTAATTCTGTTGAAACAATGTCTGTTAGACACATAGTGATGGGTGGCTTTTCATGAAGTTGGCTTTGAAATGCTTGCTTTTCACCAGTCAGACACAACAACAACCTCTACTAAACTACGTATTCTGCCTTTATGTAAATTCATCATTACATTATGGGCAATGTAGGATCCATTGCTTTTGGAGCATGCTCCACATTAAAGACTGAACATATGGATATTTAAGCCCCTGCTGTTTAGATCCTAATCTTTCTTTTATCCAATATGTCTCTTGTGGGTCCACTAACTTTGTGGAAGTGCAATACTAAATCTGCAGAATGCCTCTTTAATCTCAGATATACATAGCAAGGATAAAAACATCCAAAACCACAGTGGCAGCCAAGTCAATTTAAAGAGAAAAAATTAAGATAAAGTTGAACCTCGAGTGAGAGGCACTTCAATTTTATTTTGCCCTGCTCTCATTCCAGGAGCGAGAAAAAAATGATAGGAATGAGAGGGCAGGACAAGAGGCAGACAGGTGACTCAGTAGTGTGAAGAACATACGAAGCTGGCAACACCTCACTCAACAGGAGGGGAGCTTTATCACAACTCTTTGCTCCAGACAAAACACGCGGCGCTAAACAAGGACAACACTGTTCCTTAGCTGACACTGTGCACCCAAACAAAGCACATGGCGGGGTTGGTTAAGGACCGATGCCACAGAAAACAAGCTGTGATTTACATTCCTACATGCACAGGCTGCATTTACTCAGTTATCTGTGTTATTTTGGCAAAATAAACTTTGCATTGTTTGGCTCCAAATAATGAAAGAAAGGCATCCGGTCAAAAATAGATTTGAAGAGGCGACAAAGCGGCTGCAAAGCACAGTGACACAGTGTATGTTTTTCACTGACCACATATGATGATTGCGTACTATGTAGAGAGAGATTCAGTGCAGCAAACCCATTGCATGACATTGATGTGTACCATGTTTCGTATTGATTGGCCACATCAATAAGGAAAAGAGAATAAAGAAAAAATAAAAGAAATAGCATGTCATCTGTTTTTCCACTCGGAGAAAGGCTGAGCTCAGCTCCGTAGTTCCAGCCTGCCTGTCTTCTCTCAGCAGATGTTTCTGTAGTGGCTTAATTCATCCAAGAAACAGAGGTTTTAGAGCCGGAGCTCTAATTTCCCACACCTGTGTTCAGCTACGGCAAACTCTTATTTGTTCTGCTGCTAGTCCTCCCACCTCCTGCTGAGCAATGGCTACTACCACATATAACAGACAAACAAGCCAGAGAGGCCTGGTTTCGCATCTCTGCAGGCTGGAAAACCCTGGGAGAGTATTTTTGTGCCACTAGGAGGACAGTGTTGGGTTTTATCATTTTTTGCATTTAGAGCAAAAATCTCTACCTATATGACGAAAAAGTGTTTTGGACATGCTTTAGGTAGGACTACACAGGAACATTTGTTTAATTCAAGTGGCAAAAAGGTAATGAAATGGGTTACATACCTTGACAAGTTCTCTCATTGGTTAGCAGCTTGTAGCCTTTCTTGCAGCTGCACTCGAAGCTGCCCACTGTGTTTCGACACACATGATCACACCCCCCATTGTTCAGACGGCACTCATCAATGTCTGTGAACAGAAAATCTTAATGAGGACTGGATGCATCAAATCACTCATCGTCATTTGAAAAGGAGAGAAAATGAAACCTGCAGTGTGTGATTGGAAACAAGCTGTGAGCGCATTACAAAATTATTTTCCTTGTTAGCACATAGTGGCCTATTTACACATCCAGGAGACATTCATTTGCTTTTTTTTTTTTTTTTTATAGCCGCTTTGTACGAGGAACCACAGCGTCAAGCCATTCTCTGGGGGTTCATCACTATGGGCGACCTCTTTCGATTGAATCCATTGCAAATATAAAAAATATTGATTGCAGCAGCTTAAATGTATTTTCATAGGAAGCTGTTAAATTTAAATGGGGAAGAGGAGATATATATGAACAAAGGCTCCTGGTGAAAAAGAGGATGATTAAGTGTTTGGCTCTACAAGGATGACAGACTGGCAAAAAGCTGGAAATGAGCTTCAGGGATTTCCTTACTGGCCTCTTACTGGCCGGACTAAAATCAGTTTGCGTGTAGCTTTAATGGGCTGCAGCCCTCACACAGTAAAGCCTTGCAGCAGTAGGGCCTCTAAATCATCATTGTCCATCTCCTTCCAATTACTCCGTTCTTTATTTCTGCAGCCGATACTCAATCGATATGTCATGTGTTCATCCCTGCTTTGATGGTGCTCTGTCAGGACTCTGATTAATTTTGAATCATCATCACCAATGAGGCGTCTTTCTCTTGAGGGCGTCTTCATCATCTGGTTTAAATAAATGCGTGAGAAATGGACTTAAATAATTCCTTTCTTGCTCCATCTTTGTCTCCACTCCTCAGAAGTGGCTGGCCTGAAGCGAGCTCCTGTCTTCTTGTGCCAGTGCTGCCTGGGTTTGTTTTCCTCTTGTTTCCTCTCAAACCAAACTAATATGAGCCAATGTACTTTTATCAGAGTAGCATTACAAGCCATAGGAAGCAGACAGATTTTATTTCTGCATTTCTGGAAACGCGGGTTGTCCTCATTCTCAGTTGTGCCTTTGTTTCCTAAGTCTCCCAACATGATAATTCCACGTGTGGCCTGTAAATGATTTATCAAACGTAACTCATGAAACCTGTTACAATATGCAAGTTGCTTGAGTTGAGGACGCTCTGCCAAAACTCAGAAAAGAGGATGATGGTAATGCAGTGGAAAAACTGTCAGGAAAAAACTGGCGGCATGACACAATATTGCTCAAATTATGCAGCTGAAAAGCAGAAAGTGGCGTGAGATTGGGGGACACTGGTGTGTATTGCGAGAGCACTTGAGGTTGCAAACCAATGCTAGTGTAGAAAATCTAACTAGCAGGTAACTGGGGTGGAAGCAGAATGAAAAACAATTTAAATATTCCAATAAACTCCGGGTGGAGAAAGAAGCTCCAGTGTGCCTGGCAACATGACAAGCAGGAGACGAATTTGGTGACAGCTGGACAGGTGCAGCTTGAACGCCGCCTGGAACCGTGGGTGATGGGTGGGTTACCTTTGCAGGTCTTGCGGTCTGGCTGCAGAGTGAAGCCAACAGGACAGCTGCAGCGGACTCCTGTCACCGAATCATGACATGTGCTATCGCAGCCGCCATTGTTCACTGCACAGGTCTCTGCAGGGAAACCAGCACTCAGTCAGACAAACTCCACCAGAAAAAAAAAACAACACAGTTAGATGCTGCTTTGACCTACTTATTTTCTCCCCATTGAAACGGAATAAATGCATTCTGATACCACTGGAACAATTAGAGGACACACTGTTATATACATGGTTATTTTTGTGTAAAACAGGAGGAGATAATAAAAACAGCAGGCTAATCAGGTGTTGGAGGGTAGAGAAGGGGGAGGGGGAGGGAAATAAAGACAGAAAAGAGTCATAACTGCAGCAGCTGAATGAGATTAACAGTAAGGGAAGTAAAGAGTTGTTGGAATAATGAAAGGAGACAGTCATTAGGGATGTTATAGTTAACACAGCCAAACATAGGATTTCACAGGTTTTCTCTTGGTGTACATGTGCATGTAAAAGCTATGTGAGTGTGTGCATGTTTGCTTCCCTTTGGTCAAGGTGAATTATAACCTCTGAAAGTTCTTTGTAATGGAGGACATCCGTCTCCCCTCCATCCTGAAGGTAGAGTTTCCACTTCCAGACATATGCAGACAAAACCACCACTTTTACCTGGTTTTGACAAAACCTTCCAGGCATTTTGGGGATAAAAAAGCAATTTCAGCTACCTGGCCTGTGTTGGCTAGACTGATGTGAAAAAAGGGAGGTAGTCAGTCAAGGCAGGATAGCTGAGGTCTCTTCTCTAGACAGTGACAAATTTCACAGAGAGTTTCATTTTAAGCAACAGTACAGGAGAAATTCTCTCTCACATCAGAGTGTGTGCTTTACTAGTTTCTGGGAGCTTTATAGAAAGCCTTGCACACAAACAAGAAAACTATTAAAAAATGACTTTCGTGACCTGGAACAATCAGTTTAAGTGGCAGTACGGCAGCTGATCATCTACACAGCACATCTAAGGGATCTGAGGATGTTCGCTGGCAGCTCTTGGGAAAAAAAGAGCCAACACAGCTGGACTAGTCTACAGCTCACACTGGCAGGGAGATGGCAGCTCACACGTGGCACTAAAGAGAGAATGCAGCTGCACTGTTGTTGTTGCTTTTTTTATAGAAAACGAGGAACCCTTTGGGGAAACACCTAATCCTCCTCACTTAAATCTAAAACTGCACCGCCTGCAGCAGCCATAACTGAACTTTATAAGAGGTCTCTCCATCAAATAAAAAAAACTCAACTGTGGACTCGAGTTATGTATCAAAGCAAAACAGGTGCTTACAGTGATGTAATTCAACGTTTTATAGCAGTTTCAAAGGCAACAGCTTGAAACGGTCTAGTGGATGCCGTTGCTTAGAGCTAAACATGATGTATTAATATACTAACATCAAAATTGGAGTAAATGTTAATGCAAGTTGCAAACTTTAACTTGGAAAACACTGTCATAAAGTTCAGTTAACCATTTCTGTGACCCCTGTTTACACCCGACTATCTTATATATATCTTATAGTGATTTATACAAACCTGTTTCCCTGAAAAATTTGAATTTTTTTGCATTTTTTTTTCTTCAGCTGATTTCCCCATAGATGATGATACCTACTAATAAGAGTCATCTTCTGTAATGTTCATCAAATACGCTCTCATCTAATATGACCAACCCTTCATGAGCATTATTCATTGTGCTTCAGGTGTAACTTTGTAAAGAAGAAACAAAAAATTAAATTTAAAGTGGATAAAACCCACTACAGCTCAATTCAATACACTCAGGTTCTGTAGCTTTTGGTCTGGCAGCATGTGCTCACTGACTTATGTGTACTAATGTCAAACTTAATGTGGATATAATTATGCAACTAAGTTTTCTGGCTTCTGTTACACTACATTTTTACAATGAAATCACATTCATGTCATATTATTAATGTGTTCAAACAAAAAGCTCCTCAGACTAACTTTAATATATTTTACAGCTGAGATCTTTCTGTTTTTTTTTGTGAGGTGTGTCCATTCCTTTGTTTACTCCCCGAAACTGGCAGAACACAGCGTATTCTGCCTTTGATCCTCTGCAGGAGAACGATTGCTCATGGTGGAGTACGATACCCCCAGTCCCAACCCAGACTTGAGAACGAAGCACTGTGGCTTCTGGTAATTGCAAAGTGCGAGCAGAGACAGTTGGCAGACGAGACGATAAGACAGTGTTGGGACATGCCTCCAAAACGCTTAGTCAGGCAGCCATCTCACCAAACTGTAATGATCATGTGTTAAGAGAGCAAAGAAATATTTCTGACATTATGGTTTTGTGAAGACAGGGGGGGAGACACACACTCTGGTATGTGTGTTGGTTTGTGTGTTTTGGATGCAAACCAGCCGCATCTACAGTGCACTGGGCCGGGACACGCAATTACAGTAACAGTGGGCCGACTTTTGTAAATATTCCCCAGTATGATGTGCAGGGTGTTTGGTCTAATGCTGAGCCTCTGTAGTATATGTTTCATACAGAGAGGCTCAGACAGTGTACATAATCTTTTAACAGAAGCCACATGACTTTTTAAATGCAGTGTTTCTTAAATTTACGTCAGAGCTGTTGACAAGCAGCTTGTCATCAGCCATTTATGAAGACCGCAAACGAAATACATCAAAGGGTGAGAGGAAAGAATTCACATAAAGGCACCAGAGATCTATGGCCTTGGTGAAAAAGATCTTTTTATATATATGTGTGCACATATATACATATAGAAAGAGAGTGACTTTTTTCTTTTTCTTTTTTTTTCTAAGGAAATTGTTTGGATTTTCTTGACCAAACAGCAAACATGCAGCCAGAGTAGAGTTACTGAGAGGGGTTATCAGATATAAGTCCAACTAAAGCTCTGAAGTAAATGCGCTCTCAATAACAAACCACACAGTAATAGAATAAAAACCATCGAGAACAACATTCTGATGTTCTCCAAAGGTGCAGCCACAAAGCTGGTTTGGTGCAAGAAAATCAGGAGACTAGCCTGCTGAAGTGCAATGCAAAATTTGTCTCTCGCTCCTTGTGTTTCTAATTCTGAAGGAAAAAAACAGAAACTAGGACAAAAAAAATCCTGAAATAGGTCAGACTGTTATATTGTAGCACGTGGGGAACTCGGTGCTCGTGTACACACAGTAGGAACAACTAGCAACTTAAAACACTACTGTTTCGCTTCTTACCTTGAACGGACTACTCCTCTGAGAACAAGCCTCCTCCCTCAGTCTCTTACATGGTATAATTAAATCGTAAATCTCTTTGATGTATCAAGGTTTGATACGTCTTCATAGATTTATGAGTTTATTTTTCCTGGCATCTTTGCCATTTGTATTAAAACACAGCTCATCCTGAAAATTGGACTGAAATGCATTTGTGATATTATCAAGTTTCAATACGTTTTCTCCCTCTTTTCCTCTCAGATCTGCTCAATTGTGGATTTTTACAGCAAATGTAGTGAAACAAATTACTTTTGGCCACAAAATAGAAGAAGCAACTCTTCAATTGATTGTTTTCGGCATTTTTGGGCAAAAGATTACATGTGTATGAAACAGCAAGTTGGGAGGGATTCTGTGTTTTATCTTCTGTGTGAAGTAGTGCTGAATCATGGACACATTATTGGCTCCCTCACCAAAGCTAATAGGCCGTGATGATGGAGTTTAGGAACGCCGTGGCCAAGTGTTTGAAACAGTGCAAGCTCATTTCAGTCGTATCAAAACACAAATAAAGCTCGAGCCTTTGGTCTGTCTCTTAAAAGCTGTCACAGTCAAACTGATGATGTTTAGGACTTTGGACAAAGCCTACTTGTGCTAATGCATCCATATTCAGAAGATCAATCAAACTACAGTGGTGGAGGAAAAGAAAGAAGTACTCTGATTCTTAAATCACTGTACTGGTGCGTTCATGCATAAAAATACTCTGTTACAAGTTAAGTCCTGTTTTCAAAATCCTACTTAAGTAAAATTAAAAAATTATTATTGCTCAAATATAAATGATCAAATGTAAAATGTGACCAAGAGACTGGTAATAGTGAAAATTGACACATGCATATTAAAGCATGTATATGTAGCATAAGGCTGTTTTAACCAGCTTTAAATTAGATCATTTTAAGTGTTTAAGTATATTTTTCTCCTTGTTAACATATCCAAATGGTGTTTTTAATGTGCAAGGAGGGAAATCATGAGCAAAGTAAGCAGTCAACACTGTTACTGAGCACTTTCAACTTGAAATTGCAGAGTACTGATGACAGTCTCAAAAACGCAGACATCTGTGGTTTAATGCGTAACAAATTCAAGAAACCAATCCTGTCAACTTGACGGATGGCACTTTCTATATGATTATTTACCATCAGAGAATTACAATTTGCCATTTGGTAGCACTGACTAGTTTTACAGTACTTGAGAGGAGTCATATATTAGCTGGTGTGCTCGAGCTGCAGCAAGCCGGGAGGGGCGAGTGGCGGGAGAGGCAGAGTCTGCGTAGATCATAGATTTTTAGGCAGGAGAGGATTATTTTTCATTAAAAAAATACTCTATAAAAACTAAATATACAACTGTGATGTGTAGGGATGATTTTTTAGAGGGTAAATCAATGACTGGAGGGTTACTTTAACATCTTTAGGCCTTAAATATGAATCTAAATGAAACCATTTAGTAAGTTTAGAAGAGAAATGTCTCATCTGAAGGTTCTGAACTGTCAGAACAGTCAGATAGATTTTAAAAATGACAATATTTGCCTCTTAATTCCAGTGCAGTAGAAGTATAAAACAGCATAAAATGGAAACACTTAAGTAGAGGGCTTACTTCAGCGAATGTGTTTGAGTCAACATGACTGCAGGTACGGAGGTGACTTCGAAAAGCTAAACCACCCCATCTGACACCACTAGATACAGTATATCTGCACATCTTTATATAATGCACATACTACTGGTCAGAGGCTCCCTGTTTGCAGCTGTGTTTTCAAAAGGTGTGGTTTGACACAGGCGGTGGTTGTTATTGAGAGGGCATTCACAGAAGGAAGAGGAAGGTGGTGGAGGGGAGTCAGAGGTCAGGGGTCAGAGGGATGATGCCCCTGTGGGGAGGGGAAGGGCCCGATCAGTGTCTGCTAGGTTAGCTTCCTCTATTCCCCACACCCACAGACCCCCAGAGAGAGGAGTCAGAGGAACACATATTTACCATTAGGGAACAGCTGTGGGGCTGCCTGGGACTGGACACTCCTCTCCCCTGCATGCACGCGCACACACACACAAACACACATTGTAAAAACACCACTTTAGTTCTCCGTACACTTGAACCACACAGCATTCGTGTGTGTTGTAAGATAAGAACTAATTTGATGCGTTGTGCTGTGTGTCCACCTTATTCCCAGCCACAGGGCACTTTCTGAGAGAGCTGGCGGAGGGCTTCATGTGTAAATGACGGGCGAGCAGAGCCTCACAGTCTTAAATGGGATAATGTCCTCATACCTGACGTCTGCTACAGACCTGAAGAAGTGCCAAATTCAGCTACTGTTCTGCTGCAACTCAGCGAATCAAAAGACAATCTGTGTAAGGAGAAATATGCTGGTTGTTGATTCAGCAACAAACAGCACAACTTGTCCTTCATCGCTGTACCATCTCAGAAAATGCTCATTTAACTTCTTCAGGTCCCTCAACCATCGCTCAGTGGAAGACGGCTGAGGTATGATCACATTATCCCATTTATAGTGTGACAGGTTGTGTTCCCACATCATTTACTTCCCAGAAAGCACCACAAAAGTCGCAAACTCTTGCTCAGTGAAATGAATAACCATAATTCATGAAAGGCATCACTGGGCAGGGAATAAAGTGGACAGCATGGGTGACAAGGGAGTATTTCTCCTGCATTAAACAAATCATTAATGTTCATTTATGGTGGCAGGAGGTGATAATGACATGAGAGAACGACATTATGTTGTTGCAAAAGAAAAAAAAACAGCCTCTTACTGGTAACAACAGCAGTAATTACTTTCTAAATCCTGTCAACAAACCGATAATGACCGGTCTCGGTCTAAAAACTGAAAAGGGTGACATCTCAAGGCAAAAGTGTTACCTTGCAACATGCAGTCATGCAAATAAATATTTCCACATAATGCAGACAAAAAGGCAGTTTCACTGTTTGCGTGTGAGATGAGGCTTTTGCTAGTTAGTATGAGCACTGTGAGCCTTGACAGACAGAGCGAGTGGTGGTTAGTGCTGCAAAGCTGAAAGTCAGGAACAGCCAGATTCATTTTCTGCGCTTTATGGTGTCTTTTATGGTCAGATCATTTCAGAATTAATGTTGTTAGGCTGTTGTGTCAAGTCTCTAAACACTGTCAGCGGGCCCAGCCATACAATTTATGTGCTGCCACTAAAACCTATTTCAGAAAGCATTAGTGTCTTTTTGTTTTCACCTGCTGTATAATTTATGTCAAATTACAACTTTTAATTAACTGGCTTTTAATTTAACAAATTCTACAAGGGAAACTTGCCCAGTGGCTCCTATTTCTACAGTCCTCTGAGTATATATTTAGCTTTACCTTCACATTCTGCTACAGGCACACATTTTAGTATGCAGCCACTCGCCCCTGATATAGTTGGGATGGAGGACTGGGCACATTAACAAAAGGGAAAATGGCTATTCAAGAGTCTTTAAAATTGCAGTAAGATCTGTCATTCTTATCCCTGCACAATTTTAGTTACATTTCCAAAACATAATTTCAAAATAAAACAAAAAAATAAAAAATCAGTTCCAACCCATGTAATTAATGCAAGTTCTCCTGGATGCCAGAATTGGTCATTCTGGCTTCCACAGCTTGCTCTTTTGAGGTGCCAGATGAAGAAGCAGATGTAGATGCTCAAGTCAAACAGTAACACCACAAAGCATGCACAGTTTACATCGGCCACCACAGTTCCACCAGCGTGTTCCAATCCCAACATGCAGTAACCCAGGAACAGTGATTCTCAGCAGTAAGAGGACAGGGCGCTGTGAGATACATCTGAACACACCAGCATGAATGCACGGACCACCCGAAATGAGAGCAACGTGTTTATGTAATGGGCATATGCCTGTAGTCTACATGTGTTTACATGCATGTGATGCATGCATGCAGGATATGTACTGTATGTTTGTGTGGTTGTTTGTATAGCTTTCAGTTTGTATTATAAAATGCATCTCTCACTCTCTTTGTGTGTGCATATGTGTGTGCGTGCATGCGCGTGTGTGTGTGTGTGTGAGTGTGTGTGTGTGTGTGTGTGTGTGTGCATGGGTCTTGCACAGTGTGGCCAACTCTTCAGATGATTGAACTCCTGAGCATGTCTGCATCTGCCTGCTATTTGTGAATGTTTATGATTTGCTGTGCTAACAGCATGAATGCTTCCACATGATGGCTGCTCCTTTCTGATATCTGAACTTACTTGATACACAGACCACAAATGAACCTGATTCTTCAGTGATTGTTTCAGTCAAAAAAAATCAGACTTTAAAGAGTGCGTGTCTGTGCATGTATGTCTGAAAGATGATGTGTGCCATCCATATGAGCCTTCCCGTCACCACATTTCCATCTGCAGTATGCACAGTATCAACAGAGGTGAGACAGGAAGGATAAAGAATGAACACTTCCAAACAGAGTAGTATATGGCACATTATAACGAAATGCAGAACCGAGCCTGGGTGAGAAAAATCACCACAAAATGAATGAAAGGTGGCAGAATGCATATGAAACACCCCGCAAGATGGATTTGAAGAGTGAAGCTACAGCATATTGAAAGAGTCCACCAGCCTAACGACAAAGCCACTGACAAGGCTAAAGCTGTTTTGTAATCATGTGCCGTGTTGCTTTTGGATGGAGTGTGCAGGGACTAAATGAATCATAAACATTTCGAAGTCAGTAGTGAGGCTAAACAGGAGTATACTTTCTCCGTGTGCTGTTTCTATGGATACACTCTACACTCACTCTGTGGATCATTTACTATTTCCGAATGCGTTGGATGAGAGGAAATTATTACAACGTGTCAAGCAGACACGCGTAACACAACAAACCCAGCATGCCATTTTTGTCTCATTTGTGACATTTACAACTATAAACATAATTCTGAATTAAAATGTAATTTCTTTGTTTCAAGAGAGGCCATTTGTTTTATGCACTAAAATAAAAAAACATTCTTTCTTTAAAGCAGCATTTGCTGTTGTATTTCACTGTTGCCAGAGGGACAAAATTATTATAGAAAAACCTGGCATGCCAAACTGAAATATCTGTGTACAACAATTCCACTTTTTAATTGTTCCATAAATAAACAACAGTTTTACCATATGAAGTTTTTTAATTATTATTTTCCTTTACTGCGGAGACCCCACAGAGTCAATCCCAGTGCACAGTAGCAGTGCCTTGCTGAAGGTCTTCCAATGTTCTTGTCACTCACTCTCTCGTCAGTGGCTCATTTGGCAGCATGTTTGTTTTATTGAGGTTTTATTAACTAATATAGAGTCTGAGAGATGGAGCGTCCCCGTGTCGGCCGCACAGAAGCCCTCCCTACACCACTGTAACCCCAGACTCTGTGGGGGAAGTCAGACATTTTAACTGGCTGACTGCTTCCTAATCTGGCACACCAAATGTACGTTTGCTCTGCCTTGGATAAGACTGGCAAAGACATATAATTTGGTTGCGGCCAACTTTGTGGCATCCTCCTGGCCTAGGAGGGTACAGCAATAATGACAGGTTGGCTGACCAGACCTTGACATGGGTCTGGCTCTCATCAGGGCTGCGGTAATAAAGGGGATTCAGAAACACTGAGCTAATCAGCCAATACCCAAACCAAGCTCTCAAACTTAACAGCCACCGAAACCAGGCAACCACTTCTCCAGCCTGCTCTGCAGGAGCAGCTTCTGATTCTACATTCGTCTTCATGAAAATGCAAACCCAGGTTACTACGCTGCAAAGCACTGGCGTAATCTGTTTAAATGGGTTTGTACAGTACAGAAACTATTGTCTTCAACGAAAGTCTCACATTTACATCTGATTAGCTTTATTGTTTCATGATTGTTGAAATACATCTGTGCATTTCTGCATGACTGAGCTCTGTATACGTTTATCGCTTTGACTCCTCTGCACTTGTAGGCCCAGTCTGATTTAAACTGCCCTTCAGAATGGTTCAATATGCCTGAGTAGCTGAATGATTTTTACTCGACTTAAGTCAACTGAGGCAAACACTGATAAATGCCAGTGGAAGGTTAGGTCAGGTGTGTGAGTTAATTCCCAATGGGAAGCAATGGAGGAAATGACCCAAGGGCTAATAGAAGGTGTGTGTCTGACATGGCAGAGAAAAACAGAGGAAAAAGGCGCAGGGTACAGTAAAATAAAATAAAAAATTTAAAAAAGGACAAGGAAGAGGAGAAGCCAAAAGCAGATGCAGGGACTGAGAGGTTACTGGAGCAGCAGCAGCAGAGGGGGGAAGCACAGTAGGTGGTAGCCTTTTGTCCTTGTATGTCACAGATCAAGAGAAAAGCTCAGGGATACAGCTACTGTAACAAGGCCTGTTTCTCAACTTGCCTTTTATCACATAAACTTCATTTCAAACATTAATTAAATTTGCTGTCGGAAATTGGGTGCTGAGTTAATCATTTGGACTTCTACATTTTCTCGTTCAAAATCCATTATTTCTTGCCTTTGGTAGTTGTAATCTGGTCAGGGGGGGGATGACTCACCTACACAAGTTTTTCCATCGCTGTGCAGGACAAACTTCATGTGGCAGGAACACTTGGGGCCGTGGTCTGTCTCCTCGCAGATGTGCTGGCAACCCCCGTTACCGTAGTTACACGTCACTATCAAAGGATACAAAGTTAGCACAAAGTGTTTCTTAGGCATTTGAAAGTCAGTGGAGAGGTAACAGGAAATGTGGAGAGAGAGCAGGTATGACCTGCAACAAAAACCCACATTTATAACCTCGGGACAGTCTAATACACACTCTTTCTCTGGGCCATATGCTCTATGACGCAAGTATTGGCTCAGCTCCTCACTGACACGTAGTTCACATCCAGTAAGGTGTTCGATGATTAAAAAAAAATAAAAATCAAGACTCAGCTTCATCATCGAAACAGTACCTTGACATGTTGAAAACTGTCTCAACTTACTAGAGATGCAAGAGCAGCACTTGCTGTTACCACAGTTACTGTTTAGACTTGTGCAAAGTTCAATATGATTAAAGCACAGCAAACCAATGCAACATCTAGTCATCATTCAGCATTTTCATTGCTTATTAAAAGCTGGACTTAGACTAAGGTCAAAAATCGGTGTAATATAATGCGAAGAAGGGCATGCATTGATTTACATATTCACCACCTCAAGTGCTGAATCTATGTTAATTAAATAAACCGCTATCCTGGGTTTATTAATTCATCACTCCCCAGACTTAATCATTTCATCCTTCTGACTACAGAGTTACATTGCAGTTGCAGAGGAACTGATAGGTCACAATTTTAAACTCCGTCACCCACTGTAAGTCACCGTGAAGAGCAGCAGCCTACAGGCAGTTAAGGCAGTTTTTATTTTAATGCATTTCATTAATTCTGCAGATCAGGCAAAAAAAAAAATTTTAGTGAATAAAGGCTTTACAGTTGATAAAATGTGTTGAATACACAGCAACCGGCCCATGTTGGTCACACATAAATAATGGGAAGAGTACAATTTCTGGTCTAAGTTTGTGTGCAAATAAATTTACGTGCCAGCAGGCGACGGGAGCATTAACCTCGGCACTTTTAACACACCTGTGATGAAAGAGTGAAAAAGAGCACGAGCGAGCCGAGGCTTCCACCGCCATCCTGTCTGCACCCTACCATCCCAGCGCCTTTTGCCCTTTTCCTGGGCTGTCACAGAAAAACTATAAAATAACACTTCTCCAATCCTTATCCAAACACAGACAAATCCCCCATCAGCCCTGGCCCCAGCTCTGACAGGATGATCTCTGTTGCACAGCAACAGGAAGTGTGTGCTGTCCGTCAGAGCGGTCCCCTTCGAGTAACCTCCACACTTGCCCTGGTTGTGTAAATGATCGCTCCTTATTTGATAAACATGTTTTTCTCTACAAGAACTATTCAGATGATTAGTCACGACTTTGTAATGCGACATTAATGTCAGCTTCAAATCTGTTGGAAGGCATTTGTGGAATGAGCGTGATTATCCAAACCCAATCACCTTTTTCATGAGGAGCCTATAAACCCTCCATCTGATGTTATGTGTGTGTTTGTGTTTTGCGGAGGGGGACCGGTGCACGAGGTTGACTTACATTTGCAGTCCTTCATGTTACGGGTCAGCTGGAATCCAGGTCGGCACTCACAGGAGATGCCACCCTTCTGCGTTTCTCTGCAGATGTGTGCGCACCCGTGATTCTTGTCCATGCAGGTGGGTCCCTCTTTTGTGCCTTCTGATTGCACTGAAAATGAAACAGCAAGAGCAGGAGGGAGAGTTTATCTCTTAACTGCCACACAGATTATACTGAAGCCAAAGACCGTTCAGGAAACTAGGGGTTTGGCTTTAAATTAAATATCACAGACATGGTAAGTGGACTAAAAACGTTCGAATGCCTGTCACGCATTTTGACCCCCAGTGCCTCATATGCCTACTGCTGGTGACTGACATGCCCAGTACCCCTTCACAAAGATTCAAGCACTTGTTGGAACATGCTCACTCTTTTCAGGCTATAAAAAGGAGGCTGCCTACAGAAAGGATAAAACTCCCAGCAGGAGCTGATCCCGTAGACCTGTAATTTTAATTGAGGTAATCCCCCATAAAGAAAAGAAAGGAGGAACGAAGTGAAAAAAAAAAAAAACCCTCTTCGGCTAAATTCTCCCTACAGAGAACTGAGATCAAAAGGGATTGCACTAAAATAAGGGTGTCAGAGCACATTTTCATGAGTCATCAAGGTTGAAGCACTTCAGTAGGAATGTGACAAACCTTTAATACAACACGAAATGAAGATACAGGGGGGGAAAAAAAGGCCTTTTATTGTTCAAAGCTTTACTGAACATGACACACAAAGATGAGTCATGTCTGAGTGATGTATAAATGCTTGGTACAGGTTACCCTGACTGAGACTCACATGTAAGTTAGAACATAAATGGATGCAGTGTTCCATTCTGCTTTGCTCTACAATCCTGTAACAATCCTGCTGTCTTTGCGGGAGGGGACTCATATTTGACTTACACATTGGGAAACCCTGCCACCTCCACACATGCACCTCCCTGGCTCATTAAAAACCAAACAGATCTCTTTCCTTCCCCCCCACCTCTCCTGGTGAACAAGGGAGGCAGCGAGCAAGAAGACATCTCCATTAATGTCTCATTAAATCTTCTGTCACACTGAAGGGTGTTTGGAGGTCTAACTTTCCTAATTAGCCAACTTTTTACTATAAATTGAAGCATTTGCATATGTTCGTGGACGTGTCAACACCTAGTAAAGCTCATATAACCTTGTGCACTCCTCCTGTAAAGTCTAAATGTATGTGTCAGTCTTGACAACTGTACAGTGCATTCCTCGGTCCTGCCTCAAGGCCTACAAAGAAAAAGCAATCTCACTTTGACAGAAACAGGTTTTCATATCATTCTCTCCTTAATTACGTTTTTGTGTACATTCAATCCTGCCACCACAACCTCCTCTAATTATGTCCTCTTGTTTTCCACATGTTTTGCCAAAAACATACAACTCTTTCCCCTTTTTATGTATTTCCACTCACGGCTAATGTCAGGAATCTATTTCTGAGCCTTTCTATGCTGACAACACGAATGCGAGAGACAATAATGACTTCCTAGTCGAATACTGTCCATCACTTTAAGTCTGCCAACAAGTGTCACAAAGTCATGCAATCCTCTCAGACTTTCCTGCCTGAGCTGTTGACGCTTTTGCAGACAGGGTGAGCCATCAGATACTACCTGCAACAACAGCCTTCGCCGCAACACAAAGACTTAGCGTTGAGCAAACACTGGGCTAAAAAGAAAAAGGCACAGCAGGACTGAGTGAAGTGACCATGAATAAGCATCAGTAGAGCAGCAGCTTTAAAGTGCTGCAAATTTCCCAGCAAGTCATGTGGATATTTAAGCAGGATGTGGAATTCGCTGGTCCCTTTTCTCGGCTTTGTGTCTATTTGAGAGCAAGAAACAGACATCTATGAACTTAACAGAGGATCAAGTTTCCAACTACTCCCCCGATGGACTAAAGATTACTTACGAAGGTTGTATTATGCATCCCAAACCTCACTTTACTCTGCCTTCATTTTTATGCAGCCCCTCTAACCGAATGCTACAGACCCATCCATCAATAACATGTCGGGTTGGGGCCAGAACCTGGGCCTTCGTCTCTCTGCGGACCAATAAAAGCCAAAGTGTTGACACAATGGCCCTTTTCTCCAGGCTAGACCCAGCTATCATCCACCATGTGTAGTTCCCTCTAACTTGCTGCCAAAGGCCTCCAGTTTTTATCATTACTAAATGATGGGAAGCAGAAAGAAAAACATCCTTTTATATGGAGGTCGATGGGAAAGTGAAGAAGAGAAATAATAATAATAAAAAAACCCTCTAGATCATACAGACTATCATCCACTAGAACAATCCACTGACCCATAAAACATAACTCTATATGGAGAAACTAATAAAAGTTATCACACGCTACTTTATAGGGAGAGAAGTGGACAGGAAATAGTCCGAAGTCTGAGAAGAAGCCATTCAAACGTCAACTACAGAACAAACCAGACTAGATATGGGTTTTCACACAGCTCAACACAGACAGGCCCGATCGAAACTACTGCACTTAATCGAGAAAACAAAAGAGTGTTCCTTTTGCAGAGTAACCACAACTTTATCCTCCCGGGACAGGTCGTGACCTCTGTACCAAATAATAAAAGGTGATGCTGTAGCCAGAAGCTAATAAATCCCTTGTTTTATTTGCACACCATAAGTAATGACAGATGTGTGCAGATGGGATAGTTTGGTATTTCGGTGAATGAAGCTGCAGCGAGCAGCCAATTATCTCTGCAGCTCCCTTATCTTGGTGTTTAATCCATACAAAGCCTCACATAACGACACAACATGTCATGTTCACACATTGTTCTTCTGTCCAAATCAGCCCAACAAGATATAACACAATAATTAGTGAAGGTGCCACTAAGCCATTAGTGTTACATGTGTACAGGGTCAGCAGAACTGAAGCGTATGACATCCCCTTGCAGTGAAATTAAGGAAAACAGAAATCTCTCATTTGAAATAACAAAAACTGTTTAGCAGAAAACAGTATTTTTAGGTTGGATCTATTGCTCGTAACAAGAAGCTTGTAAAGGAAAACAGTCTTTAAGAAAAGGCTTATTTTAATAGTTATCTGTGTACTTGTGATGCAATAGGATCTTGTTGAGCATGGTAAAGTTTTAGTGCTTATTCTTATACCTAAATAAATAACAGCATGATCCTTTGGGATAAAGTGGCCACGCTAAATTCCTTTTCAATCTCCTGTAGCAGAATCCATCTGTGTGTTTGTGACTGAGTTGATGGAAGTTCAGTATAATATGTGAGATCAGCCACAGTGCCTGCAGGACACAACATTAAGTGCAGGTCACATCAAACAGCGGCGTTTCGGAAAACCATCAGGTCAGGACAACAGACGATAGTACAGGTAGCTAAGGATTTACTGATGATGGAAACTCCTGTGGACAAGTCAGTGAAAATGCTGTGTGGAGACATTGATTTGAGCTCAAACACTATCTAAGCCTGTGGCTGGCAATGTAAACTCTATGGCTTGTGAGCTACAAATGAACAAGCTGTTTCTCCCGTCCCTATCAGAACTAGACCGGCTTTTAATAAATTGCAAAAAATCTACTGAGAGCACACTATTTTCCGACACAGTAAAACATCTGTATGTTGCCAAGAAGAATTCTGCTGCACCGCATGTTACACACAGGAGCTGCAGGCTCTGTATGACTTTCCTTCTGAGGTAAAAACCTGCCTACCAAGAAAATAAACAACAGTAAAATTTCAACAGCAGGAGTTTTAACATAACATGAGAAACTGCACAAAAAAAAAAAAAAAAGAAAAGTTAACAACTCCAGCTAAGATGCCAACTCCTGTGATCCTCAAACAAAAGATCCAAGGGGGCTACAAGTTCTTCACCACAGTGCTGTGAGCTCTCTTAAACCTGAGAGCCATGTAGTGGGGAGACTGAAACAATGGGGCTGAAGTAGTGGAAGGCATGCCAAGGGTTTATAGTCTGCTCTGAGTGCTTGGGGGCAGTGAAAAGAGGGCTCATGGTCCGCGCTGAGCTGCTGTCATACATCTCAGAGGGGAGACGGTCCCCTCTTTGCAGGAGAACATTAAGCAGCTAGCTAGTGTTGGGTGGATACAAACTGAAAAGAAGGGGCCTAAGCATGGAGCCACCACACTATTAAAGCAACATTCCTTCCTCTTAGATAATGGGCCCTTAAAAGTTTTAATAGGAGGATAAAAATGTCAGCGCATGGAAAGGAGAATGGGAAAGAACTGGACTGGGTTGGGCTGAGCCACAGCGCAGATGGTCAGACGGAGCAACAGGGCAGCGGGCCGGTCAAGGAAGTAACTCTTCCCCATCGACTCGGTTCATAGAGAGCAGGGAGAATCCATCCAAGTGCTACTGTTTGGGTTGTCTGATTTTCTGCAGCTCCCAAAGGTCTTGTTGAGGCCGCTCATTTCTCTCCGTTTTTCAGAGAGGAGCCACTAAAAGCATAAACAGCCCGAGAATGGAAAAGACAGCAGAGAGTCTGGACTGATGTATGTCATTGCCAGAGCGCTTATTGTGCAACTTAGTTTAGTATATAGTATCCAAAGAACGGAACAAAGCACATACTGTTCCCATATGATCATACATACGCAGAGTATCATATTCTAAGCCAATCTAAACTGGTGAAGACTTGAGTCAGATTAATGAAAGTCTCACATGTCCCCAGAATGTGTCTTTAAAATGTTCAGCTCAAAATACTGGAAAGATGGTTCATTTTATCTTGACTGTATAACGCCTGGTTTTAGATCTGTTATAAACAGGCTGTTTCAGTGTCAGTCTTGTTTTTCACTCACATGCATGGTGATTTTGTCCAATAATGTTAAAATCAGCACATTTTGCTGTGCAGAGCTGCAGTTAGCAAATGGCTCTGAAGTGACTGCCAGTTAAAATGCAGTCTTCATGGGCTATCACTATGTCATACTGGTTCTGTTGTCTGACAGCAGAAACAGAGAAATACATGAATGAGAACAGCTTTATTCTGGAATTTGACTATAATAAAATGCAGTGTATGTAAGTACAGAGGGCAGGAGAGAAGTTCACAGCAGCTGAGTTTAGGTTGCACTGAAGCACAAAAATTGACATTATATTACACTAACCCACACAGTCTTGTTTACTGGTTTCAAATCTTTGTTAAAGTTT